ATCTATCCATCCATCCACCCCTCTATCTATTTATCTACTCAACTATCTATCCATCTCTCTATCCCTCCATCTACCCCTCTATCTATTTATCTACCCAACCATCTACCCCTCTATCTATCTACCCTAATATCATATCTACCATCACACTAGAAGCACATCCCTAGATAACATCACAGTCCATGACAAGTCAAAGACAGAGGGTTATGTTACAGACGCCTTGTGCTGTTTATTCATTACACACTCCTGCTTTTAGTTCGTGTCTCCAATTTAGATTCAAAAGCTTCCCGACACTAAACCGGTTTGGCTGAATTAAAGAGAACGTGTATTGAATTAGTCGTCGAGAATATTCCCATGCAATGACACGTGCAGCCATTAACACATCAAGCCATTCTTCAACAGAAGAAAGTATGAAGTATTGAACATAATGTGATGTACGACACCTACAGAGCGCAGATACATTTAATTTCTATGACTTTCAAGCAAAAGGAAAATGGAATTTAAATCAATACAAAAAACGTAAGTATCTTGAGGCAGCAACATTTTATTTTCTCTACTAATAGTCAATACAAGCTAGAAGTCAAAACTGGAAATAGTCAAGTACTGAACTTTGAGAGTTTTTAGAAATCTGATACAAACACAATATGTTTCAAGCTTTATTACATCACAAAAACAAAAGTGAGACTCAGTGATAATGTACAAGTTGGAAGGAAAGAGCTTTTTTTACCGTCAGAAAATAAAACATCAAGAGCATCAATGAAAACATTAGAAATGAAAGCACGTTTAAATATGAGCTCTATTAATTGTGAGGGTGTTTTTATTTTGTTCCCATTTTTTTTTTACTTGAATGACTCATCTGGTGAATCACATCTCAAAAATCTATTTAAACATCTAACAAGCCCAGAAAACACTCGGTGCTTCAATTATACAAACTTTCTTTTTTAACAGCACGAGAAAAGAGGTTGACACGGGACAGGATTTATTAATTATTATAAGGGACTGTACAGGGTGTAGTGCAGGGTGCGTCTCAGGCCAGGAGACGAACCGTCTTTCCAGTAACTGTCAGGTAATCCTCGTCAGACAGCGCCCGGAGCGCCTCATCGAACAGCTCCTTCGTGATCGCCTGAAAACAAAGCGAAGAAGTCACAACAGGAAGTGGTCGCGTTGTAGATGGAAACGTCTAAATATGTGTAATTATGGTAATTTTCTAAATCGCATTATTTAAAAACTGTTTCCACCTTTGCTTGAAATAAAAAGTTAATTAGGGCACAGTATTGACAAAAAAAAGTAAATTGAAAAGTAGAATTAATATTTACAGTTTCCGACTGTCCTCTGAGGTCATCCAGCAGCTGCTGGTATTTTATGGCCGGCATCTTTCCCTTGGCCTGGATCATTTTCTTTAGAGCTTGGGCAACTTCCTCCTTACGCTTGCGGGCGGTGGCGCTCATACCTGTGAACAGAAATCAACATCAGGAAATATACCTCCTACACATTTTCTAATGTCACTTAGGACTTTGGCTATTGCCTCTTTTTCTTCTCATTTGATTGTTTAACAGATTAAATGATTGAACACATTCAGTTTCAGACTTAATTCCTACATAAGGAAACAGTCCTGAGTGATTAACAAGAAAACTACCATTGTACAGTTGACTTATCTGAGTATGAAAATCCAGACCAATGATTTAATATAGATCATTTTGTTTTTAATCTGAGCCCAAGTTCAGGTACCACATTACAAGCCTGCCTTTAAAAATAGCTGCTACAATTCAAACTGTATCTCAGCAGTGAGTCAAAAACATTCTCCAGGCCTCAATCTTACGAACCTGTTGTGAGAATAGAGATGTCAACAAAACCTGTCCTGGGGTCTGTTGCTGACTGTTTGAGAGCCTCGCGGTGGAGCCGCTTGGCCTCCTCCACGTCGATCGTCTCCACCTTCTCCGAGAAGCGCACTTTAGCGTGGGCCTCTGCCAAGCGGATCAGGGACTCCAGCTGTCGGGGGTAGGCGGACACCATTCCTCGACCGCTGCCGATCTTCCTCATGTCCACGTAGGCCTGTGGACCAACACGCGCAAGGTCATCGAAGGTTATCAAAACAAATCCACATCCATGTTCCTCATCACGTTGAGATACGTGAACAAACCTCAATGAGGGCCTGGCCGGCTTCTTCACTCAGTCTTGGATTGATGTTGGTTCGTGCGTATGCGATGTAGTCCTTCAACACGGTCATGTCGAGGTACTCCTCCTCGATCTGCTCCTCGCTCTGGTAGTACAGCGACACCAGGTGGTGGGCCAGCCTGCGGTCATACGCCTCGTCTTGAGGGTCCAGCATCAAGAAAATAAGGTCGAATCTGGTGGCGTACGAAAACAGTAAGTTAAAAAACAATAATTTGAGAATAACTCATTAAGATCTCATGAAAAGAAGTTAGGGTTGGATGTCGATCAGTCGCATCTGAGAAACGATTTTCTCAAACTGTTTTTATTGATCATATGCAGGTAACAAGTGTTTCTAAGTAGAATAGGTATAAAAACCAAAGGATGCTCAAAATATCCTACAAAACCTTCACTCGTTTGTGAGATACTGTGCAATAAGATAAAATATTTAAAGAGGGGGTTCACCAAATTCTATCAACTGGGACTTAGATTTTTAAAATTAAGCAACTTTTCACTTTGACCCCAGATCTCCTCCGATGAGATGACAGACAATATTCACCTGGACAGCAGCGTGTGCGGCAGTTGGATATTCTCGATGGTCGTCTTCTTCGGGTTCCACTGAGATTCAATCGGGTTGGCGGCGGCCAACACAGCGGTACGAGCGTTCAGCTGGCAAATGATTCCAGCCTGCGGAGACATGGTTCACGTGTTGGATCGTTCGGTCTCATATGTTCCTTGTTTTTCTGCACGTGTATGAAATGAATCACATGTACCTTGGCAATAGAGAGGGTCTGCTGCTCCATGACCTCGTGCAGCACCGAGCGCGTGCTGTCACTCATCTTGTCGAACTCGTCGATGCAGCAGATGCCATTGTCGCTGAGCACCAGAGCTCCTGTCTGCAGGACCAGCTGCCGGGTCTCCGGGTCCTTCATCACGTAGGCGGTGAGACCCACGGCGCTGGAGCCCTTTCCTGACGTGTACTGGCCGCGGGGCACCAGGTTGAAGACGTACTGCAGCAGCTGGGACTTGCTGGTGCCAGGGTCTCCGCAGAGCAGGATGTTCACCTCCGCACGGAAGTGGCCACGGCCGGTCTGACTGAAGTCCTTACGGGTGCCGCCAAACAGCTGCAGCAAGATGCCCTGGAAGGAACAGAGAGTAGTTTCTGTCAAACTCTTGTTAATGTGCTGGATTGGATGCATATTAAAAATTCCAGAGCCCTGAAACTAACACACCCTTAGAAATAGAGCAGTTAAACTCCACTCATTGTTTCCTGCTGCAAAATTTAAAAAATAGTTTGATCCTAAAAATACATGTTGGCCATTAATTCCATTCACCAGGCGTTGTTGAGTGTAAAACAGTTTGTGTTACTTTCTTGTCTTGCATCCGTTTACACACAAACCTTTTTGATGTCCTCGTGCTCGTAGATACTCGGCGCGAGTGCAGAAGAGAGGCGTTCGTAGACGTCCGGCTTGGCCGCCAGCTCCTTCAGCGTCTGCACCCTGACTTCGGTGAACAGCTTCTGATCGGCATCATCGTTCAGACTGTGGAGACGCTTCTCGTCCGTCTTGCGGAAGTGGATGGCGTCTATGTGGGTCTTGTACACGGACTTCACGTTGCTCTGGCGTGGGTGCACGCGCATGGGGACAGCTCTGTAGACACCTGCAGGGACATTTGAGAAACTGTTCAGTGATGGTTCAACAGAATATTCTATGCTACAGGACTTTGTCTATTTTAAATTGTGATGAAATAAAAAAAATAATACGAGGAGATAAATAGATGAGATGTTACCAGTGATGTTTATTCGGTCTCCTGGCTGCACTTTGTCCACCAGGTCGTTATGAGCGTAGATGATAGTTGTGTGTGGAGTCTGACCGGCTGGCATGTCTTCAGGGGACTCCTGAATCTTGATCTGTTGCAACAGAAGATCAATAAATGAACAGATGTTGTCACCTCAGCAACAACATGTCACCAATCACCACCTCACATATTGTGAGATTAGGTGTGACTGACTGTAAGCAATCTGCCCCTCAACCCCACCCAAGTCTCACCATCTGTTTGTCTGAAAAGGCGGAGCGATTGTGAACGAGCGCCAGGCTGTGGGTGGTGTTGCAGTGGCGACACACAGCCGGCTCAGCGATGCGCCCGCGATCCACCTCCACGCGGGTGCTGTAGGCGCACACCTGGCACTGGAAGAAAGCCTCCTGCATCTCGGGGATGAGCTGCGAGGTGCGGATCACCATGCCGCTGATGGTGATTAGCTGATCGATGTCTGCGGAGGCAACGCATACGGCAACACAGAAGCTTTAGTCTGAAGCCGATACCTCACGTTTTATCAAAACAAGGGCGGATCTTCACAAAAATCCCACACTACATATGGGAGGAATATCTTGCCCTAATATGTGTGATTTATCAAATCCACATTAACATATCCACGCACCTTCTGGGTTCAGGCTCCGCATGTTTCTGGTTTTCAGAGCGTTGTAGGGGCGAACTTGGATCTGGTATTCCAAAATGGAGTCTGGGAAACGCTCAAAGAAAAGTTCGTTGACGGCCATGTCGAAAGTGGGAATGACTTCCTACAGAGGAAACAAATGATTCAGTTATTATTATCAATGTGTCAAACAGCCACACAAGTAACGATGAATAACATCAAGCAGATAGTGTGACACCAATATTCTTAAAAGTCAATTGCCACTGCATTCACAACTGAATTCTCTAAAGCTCAGAATTTGAGGAATTAAAAGCTTAAGCCAACAGATTTTCTATTAAAACTATAATTCATAAAATATTGATCTGTGGCTATTGAGACAGGATTTCTGAGAGAATTGCGTGGCTATAAAATAAGGGACTTTACCTGCGGGTAACAGATGAGCTGCCTGTAAAGTTCTGAATCAAAAGACTGCACATGTAGACAATTCACATTCAGCACCGGATCTCCAACAACACTGATCTATGGGAGAAAAAATAAATTAATATCAGATTTATTTATATCTCATAATATAAATCTGAGATTTGTTGCAATATTATGATTTAAAATATGAACCAAAGCAGCACAACCTCTATTTTCCTTCATTCTCCTCTCAGCTCATTATTCAAAAGTGACCAAAACGTAGCTAAAATAAATGACCTGATTTAAACCAGTGTTTTGACTGGTGGTATCGTTACTTCTCCACAAAAACAGAAACATACACTACCTCTTCCAGCTTCTGCATGTACAACGGCTCGTTCAGATCCAGACCAGCGTTCTCGTCTTCCTTGGAAGTCGGGTCAATGAACCTCTGCAGGAACCTCTGGAAGCAAAACAGCACAAAATGTGCAAACGTCAGCTCTGATGGATTCAGAGTAAGGAACATATCATAAAAAAGATTTTACGTGCGATTATGTTCATACCTGAAACTTCTCCTTGCAGATTGCAACGTTGACGTCAGTCCCCCAGATCACCAGTCTCTGGCCGGCGTTCGGTTCGTTGGCGGCTGCACCGTCAGCACTCGGCTGCAAACAGTTTTTTTGTGGTTTTAAATTTCAAACAGTTTTTTTTAAAATCCTGCCTGATACAAATATAATGATTATTGTCAATAAAACTAATCGAAACTCATTCACTGACCGGCTCAGACTGGAGATCAACCTGTGGAGCCTTCCTGACCGACCCCAGGTCAGGACGCTGTCTGGCCGGGGTGCCACGCACTCCGCTGCGAGGGGTCCCTTCCACCCTGGAGCTGGGGGTCCCGTACATGAGGGGGGAGCTCATGTCCACGTCATTGGGTAAGACTGTTAGGAAAGAGATAGTTGAAACACCCCTGTTCCTCTACTGAACATCGATCCACAGTAAGTTACACTGGGCACAGTCTCACGTACCTGATGGTCGTGGGCTGGAGAACAGAGAAGCGTCCTGAGGTGCAGAGGGACTGAGCAGGTCAGTGGCCGGGGAGGTGGGCATCGGCATGAGGTCCCCGGTGGAGGAGTCCTGACCCCGGCGCCTTTGAGAGGGAGGCGAGATGGGGCCCTCGCTGGTGGCTGAGGATACACAGAACACCAGAAGACAAATGAATAATGGTGGACCAGAGACCTCATTAAAATATTAAAGACCATCTCAGAATCTTTCAGCAAAAGGTTTTATTTCATTTAGAACCGATGAACTTACGCGTGGAGGGGTTGGTGCTCCTTCCACGTTTGCGGCCTCCAGGAGTCGACATTGGAGAAGACATTGTTGTCGCAGTATCTAAAGATCAAATGGATCAAAATGAAATGAAATGCAGGGACGGATTAACAACTACATTTGAACTACTGTTCTGAACCTACAACTGTATCTGCTGCATGTCTGAGTCTGTCTGAGTTTACACTACAGGCCTGTTGTGTTCATTTCTTTATTCACAAAGGTTTGAATGTTTCAAACAGTTCACTGACATGATGGAGCATTGTATGTTGACGTGCTGTTCACTAACGCATATTTGATCTTCTACCTGCTGAATGAAAAGTAAGCATGTCTTTAAATGGGACTGAAATCTGTGAGGATTGATAACATCAACACGTGACACCAGACTGCAGTGTTTTCTAATGATTAAGAATCCTTCATGATAGTACATGTTGTTAAAGTGTTTAAGTATTTAAGGCCCTGGTCCATCTTCTCTGAGAACTTTGTACATGCAGTTTCTCTCCTGTTCATTTCATGTTGATTTGCTGCAGTAAATCAAAATTCAATTCTTCAAAATAAAAGTGAACTTTCATCAGGAGACACGTGTCCTGCCTCCGCTTGTTCAGGTTTCTTTATACGAAGTTAAAACTGTGTGTTTGAGAGTTTGATAGAAAACCTTCTCCACCATTTGACATGAGGCCGCAGAGACAATGAGCTGAAACTTCCTTCCACTGATTAAATGCTTAACACTGAGCAGGAGAACAAATCTGAGTGTTTGGGTAAAATCACTGAGACGAGTTGAAGAAGCGACGCTTTGACTTCTGCACCAATGTTTGCAGTTTGGTGCAGAATCAGTGAAAACACGCTCGGACGGTTCTTACCTCTTCTGGTGTTCACGTCCTTGTGCTGCAGATCTGGCGCGAAACTGCGACTGACGTAATTTTCGCGGGGAACTTTGGACCAATGGGAGGCCGGGATGGTTCGTTTCCTTCCAGGCGACGCGTTCACTTCAGAGCGGGGGGAGGAGTCAGATTTCTTTTTTACAAATACATCTTCAATCAAACTTAATGAGAAGTCTTCATAAATACATGAAGTACTTTGAAAACAAATTCATACTTATACACGTTTCCCGTGTTGATTCAAAGACTCTGTGTGTTTCCTGTGTGTGATCTTATTCACACTTTCACCCTGAACTCATTTGGTTTGGTCCAACAGGAAAACAGACCTGTTTTTTTCTCCTCGTCTTTATTGAAACTGTTCACGAAACAAAAAAATAAAAACCAATCACAGAATGTGAGGACACGTCAGAAGAACAGACTTATACAACAAATACTTGAGAAGTCATTTAAAAAACGCTCTTTATAAATAATAAT